CCAGATAAACTGGGCCCTCAGGAGTGTGTGTGAAGAATAGATGTAGGTAAAGCAAGAGACGATTGAGATGGTCAAAAGACTAGTTCTACTGAGCAACCAGTTGTCGAGCACTAATGGCCCCAACCCCGAGATCAACGGATTGACTACCGTTTGTTTCTTGGTGGACTAAAGACTACCTCCCAAAGAGGGTTTGTCCCAACAGTTGAAGCTCCTATATACAAAAACTTATGCACACAACACTATAAGGGCAAGCACAGCACAGAAAATGCGATGGGATGTGAATCTCAAAAGATGTTAGACTTCAGTTAAGGCCGGGGCCCATAACCTGTTGAAACAGGAAGCACAGTGGACTGAGTCAACAGTGAGAAACTCTTTTATTCAATATGAGAAGGAATACATACCTGAGTCAACAGTGAGAAACTGGGGACTCAGGTCTACTCTAGCTGGTATATATGTGTACCAAGACAAAGGGAATGCCTAAATAAGAAACTACAAGGGGAATGCCATAAAGGGAACAAGGGCATGATGCCATCAAACACAATCACATGATTAGAACGTGACACAAACATGCCATCAGTCCATCAATGATCGATGATGCAATCACTGATCTCCAACAGTGATGACAGGCTGGATGATCTGTCTGGTCATTGGCGTATGAGTTGAGATAGCATGAGGGTGGGAATGGGCAAGGCAACATATCTATCTACTTTTGTCACTCTTTTTTCAAAGCGAATGATGGTGAGTTGTGTGATGTGGCTATTTCTTGACCTCTAGAGCGGATTTGTCGGAGGGTTCGGTGGTGGGGGTAGTGGATACTGACTGGTCCATCAGAAAAAGAGGGAACGGTGTCGAGGACAGAGAACGGTTTCATATCTTGACGAATACGATCGTCAGAGGGGTAGGGTACTTCGAGTGGCCAACGAACAGAATATACTGAAGGTGCTTGGATGAAATGAGAGAAGGAGTGGCCGGTGAGTGTAAATGGCCTTCTATCGTCCTTGTTATATAGCAGCTGAAAATCATTTAGTCGGACGAAATTATGCACTCTCGTGCCGTCAAGACGTGTATAGTCTCCCAGATACGTCGTTTGTGGAGACGCGGTGAACGAGGGGCTTAGCTCAAGCGGCCTCTTCTGAAAATATCTGTTCCATTGGGCGTCGACGCCTTGTGAATTGCTAGGTCAGGTGTTTCGTTGCCGAGGTACGTGTAAGTGGTCTCGGGGGGAGATAGCGAATGGCCTCAACGAGAGTGGTCTCAGGTATCATTCCAAAGTGAACGGTCGTTCCTGTTTCTTGCTCACCATCATCTTCTAGGGATCATCCTCTTTATCCTTTTTTGTATGAATCGTCAGCATTCCACACCCTATATGGCCAATATAATGCGTTAAATTGGGGTGTACCCCAGGCCTGCAATGCATTAAAACTGGGGTAGCATTAAGGGCAAAATAAAGTGGCACCAGCCTGAATTGAACGCAAAACAGTATAGTAGCATTAGTCAGCAGAGGATTAGGAGCAGATACTTTAACCAACTAAGCTAAGAGGGCATTTTAGATCACAAAATATTGAAGTCACACTATGCTCCCAAACTCAGATTAAGCAGTGAGTGGCAGTTAGGGACTGTTAGGTTAGGTAGGTTAGGTTAGGATGGTTAGGACTGTTAGGAGGTTAGGTTAGGATAGTTAGGAGGTTAGGAGGTTAGGTTAGGTTAGGGTGGTTAGGTTGGGGGGGTGTGGGGTGGCCACTAAAAAAAACTGGCCCCCTGTAGCAGTGTAGTGTACTAGTATCAGTCCACTATTCTTAACGAGCAGGTCACCTGACTGCTCCTTTGCCTCAGTTCAAACCAGCCTGTTGCCTTTTATTTCCAGCAGTGAACCCACTGTTTTAATGCATTACAACCTGGTTTAACATATTAAAGGCTACCCCAAGTTTAATGCATTGAACCCTGGGGTAGTACCCCAGTTTAACGCGATAATTTAACTGTACCAGCTGCATTCCAATGGTGACGCATACAAGGCGCAGAACAGCCCGTACAAGCTCCTGGGCTTCACTTTCCAGTGGTGAGTTCGCCGTTTGTTCTGGGCTGCCTGACTGATCTCTGGGATCTCGTTCACAGGCTACAACTCCGCTCTCCTCCTCCATTCTAAACGCACCAATCACAAACGGACCGGTCTCATCCTCATCGTCAATGAGCACATTTTGGAATTTCAGTCCCCAAGTTTGCGGCGCCTTCCACATTCTCACTCTCAATCTCCACAAATCTTGGGGTGTCTTCCAAGTCGGAATTTTCCTCTGCCGGTGACGCGTTGTCTTGCTTGTACATGTACGAGTGGAAATGACTTGGATGTGCGGCAGAGGCTTCTGCCGAGCGGTCATATGGTATGGCAAGTAATTCATAGCGGGGCTTGCGAGTTTCTCGGTCTTTAAATACAAGATAAGTTCCTTCTCGTCGCTCGTCTATGCTGACGAGGTTGCTGCGCTGCCAGGGTCGGCCAAGAAGCAGCTCAAACGGGGCATGATGAGAAACCCAAAGGTCGGCGGATGTGTGTACTCCGCCGCAATCAAATTTCACGCCGGATACCCAGCCTTGTAGCCAATACCCTTGGCCCTCTGCAGCATCCCGCGCCTTATAGTCAAAGTGGTCTCCCATAGGATCGAAGTGGAGGCCACAGTGGCACGCCATGGCTGAAGAAAACGCGAAAGAGAGTTTTCAGGGTGAGATTTGAGAGACCGAGTGGGAGTGAAGCAGACAAAGAGTTTGATGATCATTTGGTGCGGCCTAAATTGGAATCTCAGCTCCCACCAACTCTCAACATGTATCTCTGGCATCTCAGACTTCCCACCAGTGCTTCTTTTCAAGTTCATTAGGGAAAGTCGCTCCCAGGACATTGTTGAAGGTCCTTCTGGGAGTTCCCTTCACACTATCGGCAGAATAGCTCAGTTGGTTAAAGAGCATCTCGAATATACTGAGAAGGTCGCAGGTTCGAATCCTACTTCAGCCATTTTCCAACATGGTAGCAGCAACTACCAGATGTAAGACGAGTAACGACCACATTCTGGCCAGTGCCTAGGAAAATGGTGCCCCCCTTTGTGAGATCCCAAAGAGCCAATAGTGTTCGGGTTCCGGGGGAGTGTTGAAGGTCCTTCTGGGAGTTCCCTTCACGCTATCGGCAGAATAGCTCAGTTGGTTAAAGAGCATCTCGAATATACTGAGAAGGTCGCAGGTCCGAATCCTACTTCAGCCATTTTCCAACAGACATTGATTCACAAGAAGAAAAAACCGAAACCCAAGTAATTTTCACTGAGTCGACTTGGTATGTGCCTTGCACTTCCCTCCCGACTTGTGTTCGTGCTTCCCTCCCGACTTGTGTTCGTGCTTCCCTTCCTTTTCCAGCTGCTTCAACTCCGCTCTGACCCGTTCGCGAGATGTTCCAACCCAAGGGAGATGGGTGTAGTGATTGTACAGTGGCCGGTACTCGGTGAGGTACGCATTCATGCCGTATTTCTCGATGTAGTTTCTGGCAGACCCGGGTTAGTGAGAGGACTTGGAGAGTTGGAAGGGCGTACTCGCGGCGCTGGCTAGATAGAAGATTCAGTAGAATAATAAGGTGGCTGGTCGAGGCCACTTACGATTCTCGATAGTCAGCATCCCAAACCTGACGCTTCTCAGCAACAGCAGCTTTCTCTTTGGAACGTTTCGCTTGCAAGCGTTGGCTGTATAGTCAGGTAAGTTTTGAGTGGAATGCCAGGATGTGAGGCTAAGTAACCACCTCATTCGTATGCGCGCCTTCTCTCGGACTTCCTCAAGATTGCTGCTGATAATTCATGTGTGCACAGTGCTCGAAAGGTGAGACACACCGTTTTACGTAGGGTGCTTGAGCCTGAGCGTGTTTCTTGCGTCGTTTCTCGAGAGTGGATTCGGAGGGTGCTTGTCTGACCATGGTAGGCGGAGGCAAGATGATACAAGAATGTACTGCCATTTTGGCATTTACTGGTCACACTAACGAGTTCGTGATTGCTCTACCACAAATGATTTATTTTAAAATTGTTCCCTTGCTGGGTCAGTCCAAATTTCTTGTATGTTCATCCCAGCACCTTGAAGAGCATCCCCTTTTTTTTCCAAGGTCTGAGAGTGCCCGTGGTACGAACAGGACTCATCCATCTTTTTTTAGAAATAGATGAGGTTCGTGATAGATTTTGGCCATTTAGCCTATATACACTGTTCACAAGCGGTTTCTTTTGCATGGGACATATTCAAATCTGTATTCAAAGAATTTACATGATATAACCAGGGCTATAATGTATCGACACCCCCAGGTATGAATTTTTTTCTGCACCGGAAGACCCGGTCCGAGCATCGGTCCGGCACTCCCGTCCTTGCCACCTCACTCAAGAGCCAGGATGCAGGTGAAAAAGATTCTATTCGACTACTGTAAATCATCTATCATACTAAACATCTGCATGCCCCTCTCCCACCGAGTTGCCTGCTCCTCCTGGTACCTTGCCTTCCTCTCCTCACTCGCTGTCGCCAGGAACGTCTCCTTGGTCATATAGTCCTGGCTGATCCATCGGAAGAGCCCTCCAGCAGTGTATTGAGTGAAGGAATGCCGAACCTCACCCTGCTGGATAGACACATTGGAGTGCTCAATAAGGGCGGAAGGGATGAGGATGGTAGCGCCTGGTGGGAAGCGGATGACGAGCTTGAGGTCCCAAAGTATGAGATGGCCTCCAAGATCCGGGTTGAAATTTCCGAGGGCGGTGATGCTACACCAGCCAACCGCGAGGTTGCCAAAGTCCCGGTGTCGTTTTGTGCAGGCGCGAGAGAAGTTGAGCGCACAGGCTGCCCACACAGACTTTGTTCCCGGGAAGTTCCACACCATTTTCCTCCACACTTCAAGAAGAACGCGGGAGAGAGCATAGTATTGGTAAATCTTGGGCGCCCATATAGCAAACAGAACTGCAATGATCTTGGCAAAGCTCGTTGCTCAGCTGTGTGTTGGAAAATGGCTGAAGCGGGATTCGAACCTGCGACCTTCTCAGTATATTCGAGATGCTCTTTAACCAACTGAGCTACTCTGCTGATAGTGTGAAGGGAGCTCCCAGAAGGACCTTCAACACACGGAGCATGCCCCAAGGACCGCAATGATGCGCCGCTGGATGTCAATGATGGGGATGGTGAGGCTGAGGGTGTATGTGAGTCCGAATTCGGGAATAGGGAGAAACTGTGGGCTTACAGGCCTAGCCACGCGATATACATGAACCCGACGGTCCCAGAGAGTGCATCAACCTCCTCCTGGGTGTATCTGACTCCGCCCATGCCGTACCCATCTCCACCCGAATCATCCGGCCATGCTGAGTCGGTGGGAAAGTCGGATTCGACTACGCCAGCAGTGCGGCTGCCAATCCAGCTTGAACCAGCGTGAGGGAGCTCCGCTGCATCGGTGTCGACTTGGACTGAGTGTGGAATGGCTTCTTGGATGCGATGGCCATGGACGGCCTTTCGGACAGCATTCCCAGATGCCTCCCGACCCTCCGCACACTTGACGTTGCGTCGTCGGGTGAACTTGGCCTTCTTACGTTGATTTGTCGTCATGCTGTTGAGGTCAAGCTCTAGGCACTTGGATGATGTCGGGTCAACGGAGGGAGGGTCAAAGGCATGATGAGCGGGTCGTTTGGTGGGTAAAGGAGAGACCGGGTCGGGGAGGGGGAGAGGGAGGTCAAGAAGATCCGGGGCTGTGGCAGAATCCTCGCTAGGAAGGGACTCTCCGGTGCCCGAGAGATCTTCATCGAGTAGTCCGCTGGCGTCTTGATCTGCGAGCACCGCCTCGAGGGTATCACTGATCATTCTCCTTGGACAGCTCGAACGGAGAGAACTCTGCCCCAGATCGCGTCTTGCGGCGTGCTAGACCTTGAAAAAGGGGGGAAAAGGGTGGCTCAGCCGTCTGTTTCCAGAATGGATAAGAAAAAAGAAGGAAAGGCAGGTATCTAACAGAAGAGGCGTCCCAGAGCATGCAGATTTAAAAATTCGCGTTCCAAAGGCGGAGCATGTTGGAATAAGAGGGCCGGAGGATGGTCCGCTCGACGAGGTCGACTAAAGGGCGACTAAGAGGTCCGGATCCATACCGGAACTCCGGTACTCAACTCCGGTCCAGACGTCGGGATGCCGACGTAGTAGTGCATCACGCGCTCCCCGGATCCATCTGGGTAATCGGGTTTTCACGCGATGAAGGTATCTGAGCGTTTCCCATCTGGACTTGGTCAGGATATCCACTTGATCACTCTGTGCGGACTTAATCAGCCTTTATCCACATAGCCGTATATAAGTCCGCTTCCATCACTGATCTGTGGTAATGACATATATCTCTACTTACTCGTATATAAGACTTTCCTATTTTGTATGCAACCTTAGTTGATAATTGATGTTCTTGACTACTTGTCTTGGCTGGTTCCTACTCCTTCCCTTCCTATCAACATAGGAAGGCGTCTTAGACACCCTACTCCTCTGTGGTGCTCTTAGATCTCTCCTCCGGTCGACTCCCTCCAACTCCAGTCACTATCGGAGTTCCGGTATCTACCCCAGACTTGTCCCTTGGAATCGGATCGTAACAAATATACTGCGGAAGGAGGGAAGGCCCAAATACCAATGCAACGGAGGTACAATTTGATCACTGCAAAGACCTGCTCGATGGGATTGTATTGTGGGGAGTAGGGAGGGAGATATTCAATTTGACAACCTGCACCACATTGTATGAGTGAGAAGTAGAGCGGGCTAGGCTGGACATACCATACGAGGCAACCGATTCCCGAATCTTGGTGTTGTCCAAGAGTATGACACTATGCGGGCCAGGGTAAGGATTCATTACAGGAAGCTGAAGCCATCCCAGTAAATAACCAGGACCAATATGAATCCACAGCTCAACTCACCAGGTCTGGAAGTCGACAAATGTTTCTCGGTCTGATGAGCCCTCAATAACTCTCGCCACAATAATCTCTACATCCAATACCAATGCAGCTATTCCTGTGTAGCATCTCTTCCGAACGAAGGGCTGAAAGACCTCAGTGCGCAATCCTTTGAGGGATCAGCCCCACAGACCTGTGTACGTTCAGTCATCTTTCGAGGTCTCATCAACAGCGACAAGGTAATTCGCTTGGTACGGTGCAATACAGTTGATAAATGCGGCCTCTTGGATGGGGTCTTGCTCCGATGCCATCTTTTGAACCCTCTTGACACTGAGGCCGGCACGTTCAAATGCTCAGTGGACTGTAGTTATGTGGACGAGAAGATGTCGGTAGCGACAAAGGAATGTCTGGTACTCGTCAAGAAATTTGGTAGGGGAGTGGCTGTTGGAATAATAGGGCCGGAGGATGGTCCGCTCGACGAGGTCGACTAAAGGGCGACTAAGAGGAGTATATGAGAAACCAGTGTATTCGGGTTCTTTCTCTCTGAGGAATAACCTCAGAGAGGGAAACTACTTATACAAAGAGCGGGAGCCGACTAGTAAGCTACTATGAGTATCCTAGGTCCGTTTATCCGGTATTGGTACCGCTAATGTAACTATATCGAGTCGATCTGTCCCACACGGATCCTGATACATAATTATCGTGTATGTAAACGTCCATGAAAATCGCGAGAGGGAAAGGGAACCGGGTACCTAACTGCCAACCCGTTCCCACCATTCAACAGAGCACTGGATTCCTGCAAGTCTGGGAGCGCACCAACTGTGGATACACTTGGGATACACCTGCCAGCTGGCAGAGAAAACACGGCAGGAGGGCCTGCATATTGAAGGATTGGGGTTGGAAAGACACACCTGTAAGGAAATCCAGGCCCAGCATAGGTGTGTAGCAGAGCAGCAAGACGAGAGGATGTGGAAGGGACAAAGGTGGATGGCGCGCGTTTGGGATCACGTGATGGTAACGTGATTCCCACGGTATTGGAGCGCGTCTTTCTTTCTCCTCTCTCTGCATGGGTGTGCACAAAACTGGCAGCAGCAAAAATCGGGTTCGGGTGTGTGGTAGCTCTGTGCTGCCTGGTCATGGGAAAAGCAGCATCCCAAAGGACCGTGTTTTCCGCACCTCCTTGGCCAATGAGAAGGAGCGTACAAACCGCCACGGAGGATATACAAGGTGTGCATTCAGGTCCTCCACAAACCAAAATCTCACCCATATTCCAGGCTCCAACTCCTCCAAATCGGACAAGCTGCGCCGACTGCATGCCTTGACAGAAGAAGCCGGCGATGTTGACATGAATGATTGGGAGGAGCTTGGCACCGTCAACATCCACGCTATCTTGCAGGGGGAGGAGAGGATCGAGCTTAGCCATGCCGGTGGAGAGCTCCAGGCCGAATTGGAATGGCAGTTGGAGGAGGAGTTTGAGGTGAATTCAAAGAAGAGGTGCGTCTTGAAATTTGCTACAATTCAGTTTCACTCATTCTAAACAGGAAATATCCCGACTTCCAAATGCGCCGTGACCGTATTGAGATACGGACGGAGGAGTTTGAGATCCAGATGCCGGAGATGCTCTTGGCGTACCTCCGCTGGTTTACATGGCAAACCGACCCGGACCCAAGTCCCCCTGTTTCGGAAGAACCGTATAAGATTACGGTGGTGGACATGTTTGGTGAGCTCTCCATTGCTTCCTTCCTTGACATAGTGCTCATGGCTTCAGAATGTTGTGAGAAGACTGTTATACTCGATCCGAGAGGGGGAACTATTGCTGCCTCACTTATCATGGCTGGCTTGATGCCCTCAGCACCTCTGCAACCCACCGTTGCTGTGACAGTCCGTGTGTTGGAGGCTTATCGAATAATGCACTGTCGGTGCCCTCAACTCGCAATTTTATCATTTGTCAAGTCCTTCTGTGATATTCATCAGGTATTTGACGGAGTCCTTTCTTCGACTTCTTATTGACACTCTCTAGGTCGAGTTTCAAAGCTATCTCACCCAACAATTCTCCATTGCATATGATTTGTACCTCGATATCCTCCGACGCTGTGATCGTCGTGGTCTGGACGTCCTGGGACGTGATTCCCCATCATGGTGTATGAAGAATGCCTGTCCCGCTTGCATGTATGAGCTCGAGGGGGAGGACGATCTCATCTTCCGGATTTTGACCGCTATGGATGGAAACGACTCTTTGAAGCACATTCTACGTCGAGACAAGGATGATCGAAGCAAGTCCAGTGAGCTCAGGGATGATCGGGACGCAGGGGACGGTTTCTTCCTGACACGTGAGAAGGTGGATCGGTGGGCAAAGGACAGGGTTGCGCAGATGCTCCCAATGGCTCCCAACGAGGTGTGTGATTATGCTCACAAATGTGGCGGCTTTTGACGTGCTGCTCTAGGCTGGAGAGAAAAGTCCCTGCGCCGACATGCCAGATGGTGATTTAGTGTAGGTGAGTTTGTAGTCCAGAGTACCTTTGACGTAGCGGAAGAGATGCTTCACAGCTTTCCAGTGGGCTTCACCAGGATTGCTATTGAAGCGGGAGAGGATGCCGACAGCAGTGGAGATGTCAATGCGCGTTTGGGTAGCCAGATAAAGAAGAGATCCAACTGCAGAGAGATAGACAGATTTGTACTGCTTGGACTCCTCTTCAGTCTTGGCTCCCATTTCCTTGGTCAGGACAAGCCCAGGAAGCATTGGAGTGCTCACTGGCTTGCAATCCGACATGTTGAACTGCTCAAGCATGTTCACAGCATATTGGCGCTGTGAGAGAGAGACGGTGCCAGCCTCAAAATCACGCTCAATCTTGATGCCCAGCAACCACTGTGTAGGACCAAGATCCTTGACCTTGAATGATTGGCCAAGTTGAGCAATGACCCTGTCTATGTCTTTGTTGTCTTTGGCAGCAATGGTGCCATCATCAACATAGATAGGAAGGATGATCCGCACTTTGCCATCATAGTAGACATAGCAAGAGCGATCAGACTGGGTGCACCGGAAGCCCATAGTTAAGAGCTTTGCATTCAGCTTCTTGTTCCACTGGCGACCAGCTTGTTTCAAGCCATAGATGGACTTGTTGAGTTTGAGAAGCTGGCCCTTCTCTCCTTGTGGAGGAAACCCCTCGGGCTGAGTCATAA